TTAAAAACAGCCAATGAGACGACGACTCGGACCAATCAGCGCCGCGCACGAAGGCCCGCGCGTTTCGTACCTTCTGTACGTCGCAATTGACGTCCGTTCGTTGAATCCACGCGGAGTAGTCGGAGCACTGTGAAAAGGTGGTGGTAGGCCGCTCTGCGGCGGTCGAGTAGGGGGCAAAACTATTGGCCACCCACGCCTGCCTTGCTCGCTCGCTCGCTCACTCTCTCTCGCACTCTCTTATCCTGTCTCTGGTACCTCGAGGGAGAGAAAAACAGGGTTTAAGGGAGATAGAGATGGATAGAGGGGAAGAGGAAGAAGGAGCGGGAGCGAGCGCAGAGAGGGGCCCCACTCGTCAGGCTCTCTTCGCTGAGCTTTTTTCGCTCGACAGGGGCGGATGGACAAACGGAGAGTCCTTCCAGACTTCTGTCCTCCCTAGGGGTGCGCTATTACGGCATAACAAAGTCCGGTCGTGTCGCGTATATCGGATCGTACGTCAATATACCGCCGAACCAGCAGCCTTTCGCGTCCCCCCTTCCTTCCTTCCCTCCTATCCTGCGCACAATCGGCCTCTTCTGCGCTGAAATCGAGTGCGTCTGTGATACGTTAGAAGTCGTGCGCTAGCATAACGGGGGAGGCAAGGTGCCTCGCCATTGTTCTCCAGCCACTTTTTAACAAGGGGAGTGGTGTACATATATACACACATATATATATACATATATACACATATATACACATATATATATATATATGTACGTCGTTCTTTCGTACGAACCGATTAGAGGAACGCTGTCAAAACTTATCGAGGACAGCGGATGAGTGGATAACTGGTGGGGGAGACTGGTGTCGGAGTAGTAGGAGCGACCCTCGGCGAATTTGGGTCGTGTCACGAGGGTGATGCGGACAACGTAAGACACGCTCACACGACTATCGACCCTGATTTCGCGAATTTCAGATTTCTCCTTGGCGATGCTCGGGCCGATTACATCTCCTCTAATCGTTTTCTACGGTGACCCGTGTCGACGTTGGAACGATCCGGTAATTACGGGAAACACCATGCGCCACGTATAACCTAACTTCATGCGCCGCACGGTTTATGAAGTCATTAATCACCGTTGACGACGCGCATTAACCCGTAATTATTCCACCTTTTTTTTCTTCTCCTCCTTCTCTTCCTTTCCTCTCCCCCTTTTTCGGCGAGAAACTCATTATTCGGCGCGTTCTTAAAATTCATCGTCGTGATCACAGTCATCGTATCGTGCCATGTTAAAAGACAGTGTGACAAGGATAATACCGGTCAATGATGGGGGATATCGCGACGATAACGATCGTCTTTGGAACAACCGGATTTTTCGCGCAAAGTTTCAAGGACCGCGTTTCAATCTCGCGGCAAGAAACTACTTAACGAGAGAGAGAGGCTCTCCTCGAAGCCACGGTTATCGCAAATATCATTCCCGATCGATTTCTCGACAAGTGATATAACGAAAATACATCGTACGCGCGACCGGCCGGTGGACGATATTTTCGCGTTAACCGACCACGGATAATCGTCGTTTTTTTCTCGCGCCACTGTGTAAGTGGAATTGGAAACGAACAGTCGTGTTGGAACAAAAAAAGAAAGAAAAAGAGAGAGGAAGAAGGAAAGAAGAAAAAAAAAGTCGTTTTCATCGTTACGAGTTTGAGTTAAATGTCGCTTCGCGAAATGCTGCTGACAAACTGCGACGCGCGTTCCACATCGCGAGAGACGAAATGCGTACATATAACGCAAGACTCTCCCCCTAAGCATTTCATTTCGCATGCTAGTTTCGAGGCTTAATGTCGCTTAACGACTTTCCACCGATGCGACATGTCACACTAAAACGCGCTCTTCGTTAATTTACCGGTAAACGGGTTTCGCGATACACCGCCGCGCAGATTCGATTAGTAAACAAGGTCGCCAGTCAAACGCGCACGCATGCCAAGTATTAACTGTTAACCAGAAGCATTAAACTATCGGTGTCTCCTTCGAGAGGAGGGAGGGGAGAAATATATATTATTTACGAGCTTCATTTTTTTTTTTTTTATACGGGGACAAAAATTTGAAAGAAAATCTATGCAAATACTATTCGCGATAAATTATCCCCGGTTGGAGGACAAAATTTAAAAATTTTTTTCAGACTGGCAAGTCCGGGTGGAGTCGGACCTTGTTATTTAGCGTATTTGTTATCTGACTTGTGCTCTAAATTTAGAATTTTATTATCAGAAAATATTATTTCGAAATCGATCGGTCGAGTGACGTTGATATTTTTTGGTACTCAAACCTTCTGTCGCGAATAATATTTATTATAAACGATGATCCGAATTACTAAAAAAAATTATTATTGATACTAAATAATATATACGTTGTCGTTATATATCGAGTTTAATCATTTAAATCATTTAAAACGAACGAGTCAAATTATATTTCATTTATATTAAAAAATGACAGGAATCGTAGAAAAAGTATTTGAAATATCGATACAAAAGTTTCACGAGACGAAGCATAAATTACTAATTAATCAAAGAAATTGTTATTTTATAATAATAAAGGCAAAAAAAAAAAAGAATCAAAGCTTTTCACGAAAATAGAATAAATTTTTCCAATTTCCAACAAAATATTTTATAAACAAACAGTTTTTTAAAAATATCTCTACTCATTGAACAGATTCAAAAATTAATCTCCTTAAAACAGAATACTCTATGCTTCCCATTCACGAGTTCACAAGAGGAATTTTCCACAAAGAGACCCAAACGAGACTCTGGCAAATTAATCGTCGGAATGGTGATACTACTTGTTGTCGCGTTTAAACTTGATT